AGATAGCCCATTATGTAGCTTTGTGCTTAATTACAAACAAACAATTTCTAATGAAAAGCAACTTTTCATTCAGAAAACAAATGAAAACAAAAGTTTAGCCATGAAAATATATCACCCAGAACAGTTAATATAATGTCGTAACTTAATTATATCTGTCGCTCAGTTAATCAAAGCGTTTTACATAACACAATTTACTTTACCAATTTTAAAATATTCGATTATTTGTATGCAAATACTTAACTTGCTTTCTGTTTACACCGGTGACATCTCTCGGTACATAAATAATGTCCACGTATTGTATCTTATAGAAATCTAATCTAATAAACCTAACATTCCTTGGTTTGTGAAGGCATTTGTAACACTGCATCTAAATCAGATATAGAATGTATTTTCTTCGTTGTAGTATTGTATCTTATTATGTTCCCAGTGTGTGTGTTTGTGTATATTTACACACAGTTTTGTGTATTTAAGTCTACAGTGTATTTAAACTCTGTCTGGCGTAATTGTAAACAAAGCCTAAACAAAAATGAGTAGTTTAACCCTTAAATAATTTTGGCCTACTTCAAATGGTTACCAGTTTGAAATTTAAAAGTGATAATAAAAGTATTTATGTGTGAAGTAAGTAGCGATAAGGCACAGATTAAAAAAAACGGACCTAGCAATTAAGAACAAAAATGTGTGGCATTGAATGGTAAATAAAAAAACGTCTGAAGATTAAATGGAAGCTTTTGTATAGCAACGGAACGCAAGCCATAAATCCTCGGATTCACAGCAAAATTATAATTAATATCAACTTCCGACCAGAATAAACTACCTACGTAGATCAAACTAAAGGTCATCCTGGAAAGAGTATAAATAATCAAATATATTTTTCTTATTTATAAATATTAGAATGCGCTGTTTCGTCAGTTCGATTTATAAGGATATGTTGGCCATGAAGCAAACAGTATCTCACGAGGTTCGACCAGCTTAGGAGATCGAATCTAGTCCTAAATCCGTATTCTAAGCGCTAAGTTAAGAGCAGAAGTGTAAAAGTTAAAAGACTGATATATTAATGAAAACATTTAAAACAAATTATGTTAGTGAATAAATGAATAATAATGTATATATATATATATTAAACATTCAGATAATACTGTAATGAAGATAAAGAAGAATGGAATAGAATTTATTTATAAAACACAAAATGTTTAGTTCTTGCATTATCATTATTAAACTTTTATTCATTTATTTTACTTTACTGACGGATCAAAACAAGGTAGAAATTATTTTCATTAGGTTAAACTGGTATTATCAGGTGTAACAGAATTTAAAATCTAAATACAGCAAGACAGAACACATGAGCGTGGCCAGAATAACGCCATGATTACATTACAGTTCTGAAATAATAATTACTAAAACTTGTTATATTTTGGAGTTGTTACAGTATTATTTCAAAACTTATGAGTAATATCAACATATTTTTTAAGCTAAAAATTTGAATAAACTACTGTGGCGTAAAATGGAAGATGAAACAATAAAATTTAAAAATAATTGGTGGTAGGCCTATATTTTTATTTCCTCAACTTTCAGGGAATCGTAAATACTTCAAAATTTACTAAATTGTCTATTCACGAGTTTCCCGTCTTCTTGACAAACCTGAAACTTTGAAATCAAACCTCACATCAGGATGGAAGGTAATAAAATGCTTAAGGAATAATCACGATATCATTTTATTAAAATTTAACACGGGTAACTCTTATCGCTAAGGATCTTTCTTTCTGACTACCAACGAAAAATCATCATAAGTTTAAATGATCTTGCTCATTTTCTCAAATTGAGAAAAGAGAACAAAATCAAAAGCTATTCTGTTAATAGATACAAAAAGCTTTTCCAAATGATTTTTAGAACTTTTTTCGAACCTCAATCATGCACTCCAGAAACTCATAACTTCCAAAAAATTAATGAAACAAACTGATGCCTTTGCAAAAGAAAAAAGCTCAAATCCTAAAATGTTTTTTATCCCTTGTGTCATTAAATATTTTTTTCTCATTTTGCAGCTTTGTGTTCTAATTTTCACTTTCAGGGAATTAATTACGATCATATTGAAATTCTAAATATGAGAAATCTTGCAATTTTAGTCCTAGCTAAATATAGAAAATTCTGCAGCTACACTTCTAGCTAAATATTGGAAATTCGGAAACTCCATCTGTAACTAAATATTGGAAAGCCTGCAGCTGCACTTCTAGCTAAATATTGGAAATTCGGAAACTCCATCTGTAACTAAATATTGGAAAGCCTGCAGCTACACTTCTAGCTAAATATTGGAAATTCGGAAACTCCAGCTGTAGTTAAATATTGGAAAGCCTGAAGCTACACTTCAATTTCAAAAATCACTCACTTCCATTTT